CCCCCCCCCCCCCCTTTCTCCGTGGCAAGGAATCGGTGTGTCAAGACCCAACAAGCTGGTGGTACGCAGGACGAGCAAGTATTCTCTCGCCCTCTCTCCAGTGTGGGGCGCCGAGCGGTCAATCCAGCAGCCCCCTCTTTAATTGTTTGAATCAACAACACCGGATGAACATTCAACCTCACGTGATAGTAGCCGGAAGCTGTTTACGCTGTTTGGATCATCAAGACCGATCAAGTTTCAACCTCACGTGCCGAAGACTATCACAGGAGAAAATTCTGGGCTTGCCGCTGTCAACCCCCTCCCCTTGCCCCTGCTATTTTCCACACACGCGCACGCCTCCTCATCTTGATGGAAGCAGCAAGGCGTCCGCAGCAAACGCCCGGCGCAAGGGCCCCGCTTCCAAGGCTAAGGCGACCAAGGTCGACGCCGGCAAGGGCAACTCGGGGGTAATCTCTTCCGCCCTCCGCACCCACGGCCACGGTGCGCTGGCTGGTATCGCTGTGTCCGGCGGCGTCGGGGGCCCCGGGGGCGCGGGGTGGGGGGGAGTGGGGGTGGTCCCGGGGTCGGGAAAGGATGGCGGCGCTGGCGGGGGGGTCGGGCACGGCGGGGGCCCGGCGACCGTTGCTGCGGCGGCCGCGAAGGCGGAGGAGAAGAGGCGGCACAACCTCGAGCTGCGGCGCATCAACCGGGCGTGGAACGCGTCGCTGCCGCTGAGGCGGGCGGAAGAAGAGGTGGGGCTGCGCCTGGGCGCTCATGGGGGTGTGTGTTGGCTCTTGGTTTAGGTGCCGACGAGGACCGGGGGGGTTGTTCGGTATTTCTGTGGGCCCAAGAGCCCTGATGTGTCGCTTCGTCCCGCGTGATTATTTCGTGTCGAACTGGTGCTGTTTTTTCAGGTTGCTTCTTGGGGCAGTGCGCATTCCGGATATTATGCGTCCACCTTTTGTTGTCGCTGTCTTCATCTATCAGTATGCGTCCACCTTTTGTTGTCGCTGTCTTCATCTATCAGTATGTTGTGGGGTTGCTTTCATTCCCGCCCGGCTCCCGTGCATGGTGCTTTTTTGTTTCTCCGTCTCAACACGGCGGTGGCCTTGCAAACAGCGTCGATTGTGGGCGTGTGTTTGGTTGTTTTAGATATTGCTCGTGGAAGCTGCTGTCTCAGACGTCGTCTCCTCTGTTGCTCGTTTCAGGAGAAGAAAGCGGCGGAGACGGCGAGAGAGAAGGAGATCGAGGACGCCAAGGACGAGAAGCGTAGACTCATGGAATCCCAGAGGTATACTATGCTGCTGTTGCGCGCGGAAGGTCCAATATTAATTAGCTCAGCAGACAGCAGCCGAAGGTGTGACGAATGGGCTGAGTTGAGCCAGACGCTACCGAGCAGCTGGTAAGCTCGTCCTTGCCATTGCTTTGGTACGGTATATGCTATGTGGCAGCCCTCATTTGTGGAGCGCTCTCATTTCTGTATGGACGTGGCGCGTTTGGTCTGCGTGAATTGAGTTGTTTGCACAAGTTGTGTTACATACGGGTGCCATGTGCACCCTATTGTAGCATCAACCGCGGCAGCCTGCTGGTCGTGGAAATAACGTCAGCCTCAGCGGGAGGGACATCCGGCCCGACACGATTTATCGAGGGGGCGGGGGTCGCGCGGAGGGATGGTGCTGGTGTTTTCGAAATTTAGTTTTTAGATGACAAGGGACGTGCTAACAGGCTGAGCAATATTATAATTCCAGCTCGCCCGAGACCGGTGCATCCTCATGAGGGTCCTTCGACAAGGTAGGGGTGCGGAGGAGAATGTGTGCTGAACGTGTCCTCCAGCCTCCGGATTTCAGAAAACGCGTATCTACGCACATGCCGCCTGCAACAATCTCGTACTACTTCTCCGTGTGCTGGTTTTCCAGCAGTACTTGAAGCCCCGCAGCTTGCGATCCTCTGCTCGTTCTCTGGCGCCTGTCTTGTTGGCGAGGAACAAGACCGTGTCTGATCCGTGCCTTCGGTTTCTTGTTTTTTGTGACTGCTTCCTCTTAATCCTGCAGCCGTCACAAGCGTATGCGCGTATGCGCGTAGCACCTTCCATTTTTCAGAGATTCTTGCACCACTTGTCCCACGCTCGTCCCCTCCCCGCTTGCTCCCCCATCGTCAGGGCGGCGGCGGTGGCGGCGATGGCAGCTCGCCAGGTGCAGCAGACGCCGCCTATCAAACCCATGCAGCAGGCGCGGGGGCCGCCGCCGCTGCCGAGCCCGTTCCCGCTCCTCGGAGGAGTGGGGGGTCTGGTACCGAGCAACAAGGTAGTGCCTCGCTCGCTGAACCCGCCGCCGCCTGGCAGAGGGGGGCTTGCCAACGCGAAGCTGACGCCGCAGGGCTTGCCACAGGGGGCTATTCAGCGAGGGGGGGGGGGAGG